GAGGTCTGGGGTGGCAGCACCAGGTGCCTCGACAGCTGTGTGCTCCTAGAGCTAACGACTTTTAACTGTTGTTCTTGAGAAACAGCTCAGAAAACAACTTTGTGCAAGAGTGACAAATTCAGCTACAGAACATTTGATGGCTCTATCTAGTGCCAGCCCGGGTTACAGCTGGATGCGGACGATCTGTTATGTAATACAGAGGTAGACCTAGCTGAGTCACTTTAAATCAGGAAATTCTAATCCTTCCTACTCCTCACATTTTAAATATCCCATAGCAAAAAGCTTCTACAGGATTTCTTTTTTAAAATGCATACATATAAGAAGTGATACACGGCATTCAAGTACTTCCCCAAAAAGTCCCCAAGAATTCCTGGCAGGGTAAAATAGAACAGATTACCAAAACTGAGAAGGAAAAGAAAACCATAGGAGTTAACGGACAGACCACTAGTCGATCTTATTCTACTCTTTGTTGTAAAATGAAGTATTCCACTGTGGTTTTAAAAGGGAGAAGAGGGAAATAAAAGTGTTTCTACTGTAAGTGGCTACTTATCAGTGGGAAAATGTAGCAGCAACATCAAGTAACAATTTTATGGTAATTGAATGGTGACTGAAAAAGTTTGCAATCCCACAGGAAATGGGATTTTAAAATATGCGAATTTCCTACAGAATTGAAATTACTTATTCTGAATAAAGGGGAAAATCTCCACAGTTCAAAACATCCCACGCAGGAGCGGCAAGGGTTGATGGTACGACTCCCACCTGCACATTTGCCACAGCACCACGACAAAGGAAGCGCTTCAGCCTCTGGAGGGATCCTCCATGGCAAACTGCTGGGCTACCTCCAACGACAGCCACCTAGAAATGCTGAAGAATTTACCCTCAAACCATTCTCAAACAAGCAGACACCACGCTGTGTCCCAGCCTGCCCGGTTCCTCGTGAAGCTTTTGTATTGCCTCAGATGCAGGAGAGTCATGTTGTAGCAGGAGGAGTTTTGCACAGCACAGGGACATTATTCCTACCATTTCCTTACTGCTCGTGCCCTTCCTCCTCACCACATCAGGAGGTGGATTTCTCCTGCCAGTGCGTATTCCTTGAAGATCTTCCATACTTTGAACTACCACAAGAGGTTCAGAGGACAGAGAAGACGAGCAGAAGAGGAGTTTGCACCATGAAACATGTTAACCTTGAGACAACTCCTGAGGTTTTTATGCAAGACAGAAGTCATAGGCAGTGAGGAGCTGCAAGACACAAATGCAAAGTCTCTGAAAGCAGAACAGATTTAGCCTCATCTTTTCAAGCATCTCCCTTTGAAAGCAAAAAGGGAGATCGCTCAGACAACGAGGACAGAGCAGAAGTTAAGCAGCAAAATATATCTCTTATTAGCTGTTCCTACAAAAGACCTATTTATTCAAAAGTCTCATTTATAAACATCAAACCCAGCCTTACTTTGGATTACCTCAGGGAAAAGAAAAAAAAAGGAGTATGTGTTGTATATCCATCTTTAGAGAAACTTAATTATTTCTGAATGCAGAAAATTGCTCTGGGTTGGAGCAGCAGCTAATGCCCCAACCAGAATTTCCTTGATCATTACCCAAGCAGTAGCATTTTCAGTTTAACAACCTGAATTCTCCTCCCCCACCAGTATTTCTCTCCTAACACATTCCATTCTAATTTTAGTCTTTTGAGAAGTTTCTTTTCCAGATCAACCCACTCTTTTCCACATTTAAATAATTTTCATTTTTTTAAAGAGCTCGGCTTTAGCAGGTGTTTCAGTAGCTAGGCAATAAGAAATGTCTCTTGAGAACATTCTTCCAAGTTTCCCAAATGGATATAGCCTGGAAGTTTCAGAAGAATAGTATCAGGCAAAATAACCATGCTATTTAATTTCAAAAATTTGAATATAACTCATTAAAAAAAAAAAACTATTTCCAGCATCCCTCTCAAGAAGAAAAAGCACTTATGCTCTTTGTTAATGCAAAAAGGGGGTGTGTTAAGACGTAGTTGCAATGCTGGCAATACCTGTAATTAACTTGAATGTAGTAAAATTCAATAAAAATAATTTTAGAAGCTTAACAGGGAAGAAAATGGTGCAACTCCTCCTTTTTTTTTTTTTTTTTTTTTTTTTTTTGAATAACTTAGCTGCAGAGCAGCCCCAGGATCAAGACTGTGAGCAGATTTGCAACCATGAACCAAGTAGCTGCATTCTAGAGTGGGGAACTGTGCGCTGTCCAGGCAGCCAAGACTTGACAGGTAATTTGGACCCCGGAGCCCCAGGCAGCTCAAGGGTGGTTATTATCCGATTGAGAAGCCAAACTGAAGCAAGGCCGAGATGTTTTCATGAACAACACCCCTTCTCAGACAAAACAGCCCGGTCCCGATGCTGCCTCCAGCTGTGTGAAGCTGCAGCTGGTCTCCTGCTGCCCCACACGTGCCGCGACACAGCGCGCTCCCTTTGCACCCACAGCCCTCCGGGGAAGCCTGCGGACAGCGATGCCTCTGCCTTTGCGCCGTCAGGGCAGACCCCGCGTCGCCGGCGCCTGCTGGAGCACAGGGCTGGCCATTTTGGGAAAACAGAAGTTAACAGCACGCACTGTTCACAGATTTATCAACGCAGGAATTCACCTACAGCCACAGATCTTTGCTGAGCTTCCACATTTCCCCAGGGTGCAGGAGCATCTTCCACTTCCAGCAGTAAAAAAAGCTGTAATAAAAAGCTGAATCTATCCTAGTAGGTCAGTGCAGAGGTAGCACCTGCAGTAAAAAAATCACCTGGCATGTGATACAACAGCAGCCGTGCCCTGTGTTATTTTTCCGTATGATATACCATTTCCATTTCCTACTCCCTTTGCCCCATTAACTTCTTCCAACCTCTCCGACCATAAAAACTTCCTATTTCGAAACTGCAGTCAGTACTCAAAGTTTTCTTCGATGGTGCAAAGCTTCCTGGGAAATGTTTCTTCAGCATTGTTTTAAACCTAGGAATGCAGTTTTCCAGAGGTGAGATGTGCTTAAGTATCTGCCTAAAGCAAAACAGCTTGTCAGCTTGCAAGAGCGTTTAATTTTTATCTTTTACAGTACGTGGCCACTGCCTTCCACTGTTGCTGCTCTTTCCTCCTGTTAAGGCTTCCCACAGCGAGCTGCATCCCCAGGCCGAGCATGCAAACCTCCCGGAGCACCTGAACGCGGACTAAGGCCTCCTCCCACCGCGAGCACAGTTTAACGCGCACGTTTCTGCTTGCATAGGTGAATATTTAAGGGCTTCCCCTCTCTCCTCCTGCTTGCTACAGTGGCCTTTTCTCTAAGGCGCCTTTGAGCATGGACCGAATAAAGGCTGAACAGGAAAAGAGGACAAGAAATGAGAGCAGGCGGCACTCCCGTTATCCCTCGTGTCAGGCAAGTCAGAAGCTGTTACATAATTGGGCCTCCAGACCCAGGCCCGCAGCTCCCACAGCGTGAGCCATCGCTGCAGGCGGGAGCTGCGCGCTGCCCTCCCGCAGCGAAAATAAACAGCTCTTGCAAAGCACGCGGTCCTCGCAGGCGCCTCCCTCCCTGCGGCCTCTCCCTTGGCCGCTGTTTCCCCGCTCCGCGGGGCGGGTGGATCCGCAGGACGCGGAGCAGCGCGGGGCGCGGGGCTGCTCCGCCGGCGCCAC